GATTTCTTTGTCTACCTCTTCAAAATCTTCTCCTTGTCTTCACTTTCACTCCCGTTCTTCTTTTGTTTCTTTTTTTTCATCATCCTCTTGGAAAGGAAAGAACAGAAAACGAAGAATACTTATTAATTAATTAATTATTCATACAATATGATCTTTTTATTAATTTGTTATTATTTCTCTAGGTCTTACGTTTTGTGTTCACTCTATCCATCCATCTATTCGAACACTTCCATCCATCCATTCGAACATTTCCTTGCCTTCTTCATTTTTTAGAACAGTGGAAAAAAAACTGTTGGGAAACTGGAAAACGTCTCTTCATAATGATGATGATGATGAGGGAAAACTTTGTAGAGTATTAACCACAACAAATTAATGATTCTTTATCTATTAATTTATTGTGTTTCTATTATCAGTTTTTCAGTATACGAAATTAGATATTCATAACCACACAGGCCTCTCTCACTTTTTTTTTAATTTATCAGTATTCTCATCTTCAATCCTTTATGTACCAAGTCTTATTGGAAATTCCTTCGTTTCCCAGAAGTCTGTGTTGATACAAAGTTAGACGAAGGGAGAGAAAATCATGAAAGAGTAATAGAAATTTTACCTTGATCAAGAGGACGAGGAAGCAAAGAATGACAGGAATGTGGTTCTTCTAATTTTTCTTTCTAAACTAATGTTCAATACATTAAAATAAGTATCCATAACCACACAGAACAGAACTTACATTTTTCTTCGCATTCTTTTCTTCCCCATTCTATTGAATATTGAGTAAAATAATGAAAAGAAGACTCATGAGAGAATAGTAGGAAAATTTCCTTAATCAAGAAGATGAGGGAGGAAAGAATGACGTTGATAGTTTATAGAGGATATAACCAAATCATCTAAGCAGCTTTTTCTCTATGAATCTATAGTGTGTTTAACCATTTTTTCTTTTGGAATTAGTTGAGCAACCTCACATAAGTATATATCGTTTTCAAAATCTTCTCCATCTCTTGCACCACACCCTTCAATGTTTTCATTAATTTGACATTATTTCTCACGCAATATTTAGGTATTAAGTTATATTTTAGTTTTCTCTATTCAATCTTTCCAAAACTGTTCGCTCATGCATTTTTCTTTGCATATTTTCTTCCCTTATTCTGTCGAACAATGAGTAAAAGAATGGATCGAATGGTACCTTCGTCAAGAGGAAGAGGCAAGGAAGAATGACATTAGAGTTTATAGAGTATGTAACCAAATCATGCATTATTTCTTTCTCGGCGAGGTTTCAGGTTTTCTATTGATACCAGTTTTCAGTTAGAACTATACAAAATGATTTTTTTTTCTAAATTTTCTCCTCTCAATTTCTTAAACGTATTCATGAATTTGTCATTATTTCTTACACAATCCTACTTAGGTTTCTATTCCTTTCCAAAAATCTTCGTTACTACATTTTCCTTCACATTCTTCCCTTCCTCATTCTCCTGAACAATAAAAAGAATGATGGTGAAGGGTCTAAAGAGAATAGTAGGAAATAAATCTTGAACACGGATGAAGAATGAAAGAATTAAAGAACATAACCAACATATCTTAGTTATTCTTCCCTTGTAATGTATATTGTAGTGTTATTATGGATTTTCCCTTTGGTGCTAGTATTTAGTTTATGGAAGTAAGCTTCTATAACATTACAGGCCTTTTTTATTATTCAAGACGGTTTGTTTTCATTATCGCCTATCTGAAATTATGTAAATAATATGCAAGGTGTCTCCTTATTCAGATAACATTGGCGTAATATCCTCTGCAAAGTATAAGTATCCAATCTTCGTTCCAGATAATTCCTAAATCATTAGTGTACTCATCTAGACGCTGGGAAATCACCACGCAGCTATAATATTTGCATGTAATACGTTCGCGACATAATCCTCGCCCTTATTCGTAATAAAAACTATAATTTCGGAGTTAATTCGTCGTCAAATGACCCCCAGTGGCGCAGTTATCTGGAATAAACGATTTTATAAAGACCGTTAAGGAGATTGGGTGGCGCAACCAGATTTCGCTGGAGCAGAATGAGTTTTACACCGGCTATGTAAATTTCCGTTAAAAACTGCTTAAGGATATAGGAAGGAGGATATATTTCCGCATCGAAAGGTGCGCTGTTAACACCCGTGCTTAACAGAGGAAGTTTTACAAAGCACGAGGAAACCAGAATGGGAAGAGATAACTGCTTATGGTGAATTTGTTGTACATGTGTTATCCTCATTCTAAAGGTCACTATAATCATTCTTCATTACATTTTATTTGATGTTTATTTGCTGATGATGTAATTATACTCATAGTTTCTTTATCCCAAACAGGTTTCAGTATGATTTTTAGTTTAATATGAATAAAATCAAAATTGTTTATTCTATCGTAACTATCACGATATTAGAAACTACTATTCTGAATCCCAAGCAACTGTTAATTATTTTTTTTAATGCTACGCATTTTAAATTTAAATATAATTGAGTCTGGGGAAGCTTTGGCCGTAATGTAAATGAGACAAAAAAATTTAATTTCGTATTATTTTCCAGCTCAATTAAAGACTAATAATTAAGAAAAATATATTCTAAACGTACTATGTACTACGTATTTTTTTTTAATTCAGTAGGAAGCTTATACTTTCTAATATCGGGTATCCCAAAATTCACGGAAGATTTCAATTTTGCGCCATTTGTGCAAAAAAAAAGAAAAACACGTCTTCATTGTTCAATAATATTTAAAAAATAATTAAGGTTCGGGAGCTATAGTTCGCAATTTGCACACATAATATGTTAGGAATAGTGATATAACTTCAACTATAAAAAGATTAATTGAAAAATTCAGGGAGACTGGATCCATTAGTGATCTTAAACACTCTGACCAACCCTTCAGCATCGAAGCAGTTCGTGAGTGCTGCTGAGACTCCAGAAACATCAATTCAGTACCGTGGTGAAGAATGAGATGTTTCGAGAAGCTCTCTATTGCGTTTTCTCACGAAAGATTTGTATCTTCTTGATTACAAAGTTCAATTGACTCATGAACTGAAGCCTACCGACCACGCACAGCGAAGAGAGTTAGTTGAATGGATTATGGAAAAACAAGTGGATGCTAATCTTTCGAACGAGATCATTTTCTACGATGAGGCTCATTTTCATCTTGATGGCTTGATGCGACAAAACCGTCGCATTTGGGGTTCAGAAAATCCACGAGTGATTGTTGAGAAACAATGCCTCCACAACATGTCACTGTTTGGTGAGGATTTTGGTCTGGAGGCATCATAGGACCATTCTTCTTCGGAAATGAGGTTGGTCAAGCAATAACAGTTAATGGTGCTCGCTATCGCGACAGGATAATCCAGATTTTTGTGGCCAAATTGCAAGATATGGGATGTAGACGACACGTGGTTGCAACAAGACGGGGCCATATGCCATACAGCTCGAGAAGCAATTCAATTACTGCATGAGTCGTGTAATTTCTCGTTTTTGTGGTCAGTATTGGCCATCCAGATTATAAGATTTAACACCGTTCCACTTTTTTCTTTGGAATTTTTTTAAGTTTAAGGTTTATGCCAACAAGCACACGACCACCCACGCCTTAAAAGAAGAAATTTAGTGTTGTATCAACAACGAAGTTCAACTACATTTATACAAAACGGTCATGGAAAATTTTAACAAAAGATTGCGTCTGTATATATGCTATTTCATTCAAAACTCTGTATTCATACTGTATATTTTATGAATCTATAAAAAATGTTCATTTTTTAATTAAAAATCTGTGTTTTCTGACATAATTACTTTTTGTCTGAATTTTGAGACATCCTTTACTTTGATAGCAACTGTAGGGGTTAAAAATATTTTATTCGATTGCTTCATCAAGCTATGCTTGACATTTCTCGAATGAAATTGTTACATTACTCTTTATTGAACATTTCACAAAGAAATTATGGTTAGATTTGTCAGAAATGTGACATTTCCGAGAAGGTAGCCAAGTAAATTGATTGTAACAGAATTGAAATGCACTTAAAGATATTACATTCTAGAAATGTAATTTTACGAAGTTATTGTAATTCAATTTTCGTTTATTATTTAAAAGTATTATTATTATTATTAAACTAAGTTTAGTTGATTTCGATTCTATTATGAAATCGTTATTTATATTCACATCTGATTTGGAATAAAAGTTTATAAATTTATTTCTCTAATACCATAATTATATTCTTTAAATGTATGGTAATTTAAGTTTTCTGTTCACAAATTTTGTTTTACAGAACTTACATTTTATTCTGTTTAAATATTTTAACGGCCAGTCATCAAAATTATATTTCGCCCACATAGAAAGTATCTCATTCATAAACTAAGTCCTGCAATATTGATTTACTTTTCCTGCAACCATTATAATTTTACGCCATTCCAAAAACAGCAGGACTTTTATGTGAAAATTATACTGTACTCATTATTTCATTCAGCTTTCATGAAGAAATAGAATATTTAATTAAATTTCAGCAGTTCTTGAAAAACCTGACGCGTTATTTATAATAAAAAATCAAGAATCGTAATTAACCTTCTTACTTTCTGCAGGGTTAATATAGTAAGTGAATTATTTTGAGCGTCGTTAATTGTAAAAAAAAAGAGTAAAAACCCCCTTCTCTGCTCCTACCGATACTCGGAATGATAAAATAGGACGCCCACGAAGAAAAAAATTTATAGCAATCCCACTAAGCGGGAGATTTTGGTGGATAAAATGTCTCGGGGAATTAGAAACACGCATTGTGTCATTCAAAAGTTACTCTTTTCCACGAAAAAAAGAAGTAGAAATTTGTACGTAGCTGAATGGTTTTACTTTTTAGAATTCTATTTAAATTTCTTTTCCGCTTACAAGTGACATTGGTAATGTAGGTTAATGTTGCATTCTATTTTGTTTGTTCATTATTATGTCAATTTGGTGCCATTACACACCGATTTTATTATTCTTATCTACTAAATAATTTAAAAACTACTTACTAATATCCATCGATGTAGTCAGCAGGATCGGACTGAAGCACAGCAGGAACAGTAGGCGCCAATATTCGACCAACATGGCGACGGCCTGCAAAGAAACAAAAGGTTGTTGAATCTCTGATAGTGGCAGGATATTATTCTATTTATAGAATATAGAACTTATGCCCTGACAGGTGAACCTACTGGCATAAGGGAAAAATGCAAGTTGATAAGTGGCCGACTGGGATTCAGCCCTGCCTGTTCCCGAAACAAAGCCTGCCATGATTTCAGATTAGTAAAATGCAACAAAGTTTGAAAATTTAAAAATAGTTTATACTCTTCACTATTCAAGAGTTATTTCTGTTAAGAGATGCAGCGAAATTTTAATATGAAAGTTGTACTTGTGCAAAATTTTTATATCCTAAGCCTACTTACTTTGATATTTCAATACTCAATTTCAAATTTTCGTCAAAATGCATTAAAAATTTCCATACATCGTATTTTTTCTTATTTATATTTCGCTTCCTTTAGTTGGTCTACAGGTCCATGCAATTGAATTTGAGGATAGGCAATAAATTGTAAAATCTACAAATAATTGAAAAATGGTATATTAAAAACATTTCATAATAAAACCAGTCTTCAAATCATCTTCATTAGGCATCAAACACATAAAAACCATTTCAAAATAAAACAGTCTTGAAATAATTTAAAAAATGTACATGAAAAGAGCTTCAAAATGAAAATTTCTCGAATCGGCTTTAAACTCCTTCAAATACCACGAAAACTTCTATAAAATAATTCACCGAATGGCTTCAGACAGCATGAACATGAATCAAAACAGTTCTATAACTTAAAAAGATTCTATACACATATTAGACTTCATAGGAATTCTTCAAACCCACTATAAAATTCAGTAAAATAGATCGAATTACATTCAACTGTTATTAATATTCAACATCCGGTGTCCCACAGGGATCCAATTTAGGCCCGTTACTGTTTTTAATGTTTATAAACGATATCACGTCCGTAATTAAGTGTCGTCATCTTTTATTTGCAGATGACTTAAAAATTTATAATACCGTGGACAGCATCAATGACTGCGTTTTCTTACAAGATCAAATCAATAGAGTCCAAGGGTGATGCGTGGATAACTTTCTAAAGTTAAATATGTCCAAATGTAAGACTGTAACTTTTACTCGGAAACAGAATTATATTCAATTTGATTATAATATTGACGGTTATATTCTCGAGCGATGTTCTGAATTTAAGGACCTTGGTGTCTTATTTGATTCTGGACTTAGTTTTTCTGGACATATTGGACAAATCACAAAAACAGCTTACAAGCTACTCGTTTTTTTTATGAGAAACTGGAATAACTTTTCAAATATTAAAAGTTTAAAATCATTATACTTTGCATATATTAGATTAGATCAAAGCTGGAATATGCATCTTTAATATGGTCGCCTATATACCAAAATAACATCGTATTGATTGAGTCGATTCAGCGTAAGTTTTTGAAGTTTTTGTTTTTTAAATCACAAAGAACCTATCCTGAAAGAGGTATAGATCATAAGGTTTTGTTGAATATGTTCAATGTAATTCCCTTAGGGGAAAGGAGAAATTGTAGTGCCATAACGTTTTTATATAATTTAGTTCATAAAAATGTTGAGTGTATGTTTCTCGTTAATAAGCTCTGTTTTTTGGTTCCTCGCCAAAATTCTCGTGGAAATTATTGTTTTTATTCTCCCATTTGTCGCACAAACATTATGCGTAAATCACCAATATTCAATATTTGTAATGTATTCAATACTGTTTCAAATAGCTGTGATATTAACTATGACACGTTGAAAAATATAACTGGTTTATATATTGAAAGATTGCAAACTAATGCATGAACCTATTCATGTTTATGCCAGGTTCACCGTTTCTTTTCTTTCTTTTTTATTTTCGTTAGTTTTTAGTGTTTAGTTGAACGTATATTCTTTCTGTATGTTTCCTGTAATTGGGTATTTTATTACCTGTTGGAAATAAAGGTATTATTATTACTAATATTATGTATTTTGAGTTGTCTTGACGTACATTTTTATCTTTTATTCGCTTCACCAAAATCGTCCACATCAAAAATCCTCAACAACTCAATCAAATTTTATTTCAAGATAACCTACACCCTAATAGAGAATCCTACCAACGGAAAATCATTTCTCGGAAGTTAACTCGGAGTTTTTCTCATTTAAATTTAGCAATTTGTTTTCTTTTGGATCTTTCAAAACTTCGAAATTCATCGAAAACCACCGAATATCTCGAAATATCTCGAAAGCTTCAAAATACAAACTCATTTGCGAGGCCCCTTTGCTAGCGAAAAATCTGAAGTCAAAATAGGTCTAACACATTGAAATTTTGTTAAAGCACTCAGTTTTTCATTTTGAGAAACATATAATTAATGTTTCGTGAGTTTGATACAGAAACAGTAACTTTACTGACGAAAAAAAATTGATTTTTTGAAATTTCTGATCCATACTGAATTTTACGAAATTGAAATCCAAACAAGTTTTGTTTTACAACAAACACCAATAATTTTTGTCTCTTACAAGAGACGTTGCACCTATCTGGGGACACGCTATATATTGATAAAATATTGGCCCTAGAAGTGTGCTTTGTGGAACTTCAGGTTAATTTTTATAGTACTGTATCCATTGCTAATTTCATTATGATTTTATATTTGACTTTTTTAGCTACACTTTTCCGATTTTTTTAAATTAAACATATTGTCAGTGTCGTTGCCAGATTTCAAGGCATTACTGTGTTTTTCCAACAGAAAATAACACCTAATTTCAGACACCCCATTAAAAACCTCTGTACCCGAATATCTGCTGTTAAAATATTTAAATCCCAGCCATTTGATTTTTCTACGATTAGTTTTACGACTGTCCGTGCATGCAGAAAATAAACGGGGGTTAATTTTAATTCTATTCGGTTTAGACTTTTTCCAGTAGATGTTTATTGCAACGGGCGTGTTTAAATCGAGTGAATAAAGTTAAATGAGACTTCCGATGTAGTTTACATGACAGGATTACAACCGCCGGAGGAGGGACAGTATACAAACGGTTGTTTGGTTTGTTTTGTCAGGTGTTCGAGGGCAATGTTGTTAAGGCTGAGGGCAACAAAAAAGAGGGCGAATTAAAGGTTTTGTGCAGACCGCGAATGCATTAAACTTTATTTAGCGCATTGCACAAATCAAATGATTAGCTGGAAACTGTTTCATATTTTAATTTAATTCCACGTATAACCATCACTGTTCTTGCTGAGGCTACACATAGTTTATGTTCGATATTTATTTCAAAAATAGCCATCACTGTGCATATGTGCACTATATTCGCAGTGGTAGATGGGATCTAATTATAATTCTTAGCTATATCTTAAAATGCTACTTAGCTGCATAGATAGCAGGGTAAGAAAGAAAGGTAAACTTAGTTGTGATGGCTATACCCGTTACGTATATTAAAAATAGCTGTCATCGTTTTATGCTGAGATCATACAACACTATGCTTAACTATCTTTGGTATTAATTAAGTAAGCATATTTTAACTAAATCTCGTGCCACGTGGCTATATTTGACACGTCATCGTTGTTTTATGCTGAGAATACACAGTGCTATACTAATTATAACCGGTACTTGTTAAGCAAATTTAATCAACTTAATCTTGTGCCAAATACTATGTGTAATGCCAGATGATCATGTTTAATAACAATATTTAAAATAGCCATCATTATTTTATGCTGAGTGTAGTGCTATGTGTATGACGGAGCAAAGAAAATACGACAGCTTAGGTATATTTAAAGTAGCCATCACTGTTTTATGCTAAGGTGATAGCTATGTTTGGTATATGTTTTAAAAATAGCTATTAATCGTTTTAAATGGACGTGGTTTCAATACAATATGTGTTGTCAATGGTACATATGTAAAAGCAAGTTTATTACTGAGCCACACTACGTCACAAAGCAGTACGCTAGTTGTGACGGCTATGTTTCCATGGCATTTTAAAAATAGCCATCATTGTTTTCCTGTGATCGGTACATATTTTATAGCTGCCACTGCTTTAAATGGACAGCACTTCAAGGAGTGCATGGTAGATAGTAGATACGTCAAAGCAAAATGATTCCTGGATATATTTTCAAAACATGGCTTAGCTACGCAAGTAGAACCACACAGTACGCTATGCTAGTTTGACGACTATGTCTGTTATGTGTATTAAAAATTGCTTTTACTGACGCCGCACATACTGCACGAACTATATTCGGTATTTGTTTTAACAATAGCCATCATTGTTTGAAATGAATGTGACTTCACGGAACGCATTCATATGTCCGCTACGTTCGAAGCGAATGGATATATTATTAAAACTAGGGTTACACGGAAAGCATCATGTGTGATGTGATGGCTAAATAAATTGAAACGTTATGCTAACTATATTCGCTGTGATAATCATTGTTGTTTTGACTTCACGCAATTCAGGCACGTTAAAAACAAAAACTCCTGGCTATATTTTTAAAATATCGCTTAGTTATGTAGATGTATCGCCTCACAGTAAGGTATCTTAGTCACAATGGCTATGTTTGCTGTGTACACTAAAAATAGCCATCATTATCTTGCTATGATAACTATCACTGTGTTAAATTGAAATGACGTTACAGAATGTTTAATATGTACCCTACGTTCGCAATATTAGACACGCCGAAGCTATATTTTTAGAACATCGCTTTGCTATGTAGACGCTAGAGCTGTACTTAATGGCATGTTAGTTGTGATGGCTATGTTCACTATGTTTGTTAAATAACAAATCTGTGTCACTATTTGTAGCCAAATGCCCTTAAAACAGCTATGGTTATATTCAGCACACAGCGAAAATGGTAAATGCAGCAAACGCAGCTGATGTAGTGTCGTAATATTCTGTATGGTCGTAATATTAGTTATTTTAAAGTGTACAGTGAACTTCGCCGATATAATTAACATAGGACCATGGCCCTAGCATAACAATCCTATGGAGATGTTCATTTTTGTATTTACCCA